AAAAATCGAGTTGAGTTCAGTTTCGCGTGCGAAATTGAGTTAAACAATATTCTTTTGACTCTTTCTTTTTTGTTGGTGCTCAGTTGTCGGCCAGGGCCACAAAGTTTGCTCGGCATGCGTTTTGCCCAAATTTACATTTCGGTGGCTTGTCGGCTGCTGTGTTAGTGCCGTGCCGTGCCGGATCCGAGCGCCGCAAAAAGGGGAAAAAAGCCAAGTGGAGTATAAGCCAAACCAGCAGCTACTTCAGCAGTGACAACTACAAAAGGCTGTTTTTTATACCCGATACTCAAAATGAGTATTGGGGTATATTAGATTTGTGGTAAAAGTGGATGTGTGTAACGTCCAGAAGGAATCGTTTCCGACCCCATAAAGTATATATATTCTTGATCAGCATCAATAGCCGAGTCGATTGAGCCATGTCTGTCTGTCCGTCTGTCCGTCCGTCCGTCTGTCCGTCTGTCCGTCCGTCCGTCCGTCCGTCTGTCCGTCTGTCCGTCCCCTTCAGCGCATAGTGCTCAAAGACTATAAGAGCTAGAGCAACGATGTTTTGGATCCAGACTTCTGTGATATGTCACTGCTACAAAAATATTTCAAAACTTTGCCCCGCCCACTTCCGCCCCCCGCCCCTGCGAAGATCTGTGGCATCCACAATTTCGACGATACGAGAAAACAAAAAACGCAGAATCGTAGAAGATGACTATATCTTTTAGATTGCAGAATCTGAATTGGATCGTATTATTATTATAGCCAGCATCACGAAAACAATTTAATTTTTTCTCGCCCTGTCTCTCTCTAACACACACGTAGCATAGGCGGCTTTGCTTAGAGTAAAACATTAGCGCCTGGATCTCAGAGACTATAAAAGCTAGAGCAACCAAATTTGGTATCCACACTCCTAGTATATCGGACCGAGACGAGTTTGTTTCAAAATTTCGCCACACCCCCTTCCGCCCCCGCAAAGGATGCAAATCTGGGGATATTCACAAATCTCAGAGACTATTAAAGCTCGAGTAACCAAATTTAGTATCCGCACTCCTGTTAGATCTCACTATAAAACGTATATCTCAAAATTTCGCCCCACCCCCTTCCGCCCCCACAAAGGACGAAAATCTGTTGCATCCACAATATTGCAGATTCGAGAAAACTAAAAACGCAGAATCATAGATAACGACCATATCTATCAGATTGCTGAATCTGGATCAGATCAGATCACTTTTATAGCCAGAAGGAACAAATCAATTTGCAGTGGCTACGCAGCGCCCGACGTCACGCTCAGACTGATTTTCTGTCTCTCTCGCACGCACTCTTTGTCGTGTCGTTTAATATTAGCGGCGTCTGCCGGAGGAGAGCCATACTGACTTAGTATCGGGTATAACTGTAGAGTTGCGGTGTCCGCAGCAACTCACAACGTTCCCCCTCGTTTTTTTTATAAAGTCAGTGTTTATTTTTTGTGTTATTTCCCCTCTTTGTTGCCTCATGACCATAAAGGGCGTACGTATCTGCGACTCTGGGATCTAGTTAAAGTTCTGCTTATGGCTGTGGGCCGAAACAAGTTTGGCGAAAAAGGGAACGCCGACCAGCACACTCAATGAGACTGATGGACACCCAATACCCTCCGTTTTGGCACAAATTCAAATTCGTTGGAATAATTTCTGTTGTTTATTTATGTATTAATCCGTTTATATTTTCGCCCATCAGTGGCGTAAAACTGCAGCATTACGGGTTTTGGCTTCAGTCGGGAAGAGCTGCAACCCAGACCTGGCTCCTGGCTGATGGCTCCTGGCTCCCGCTGTTCCGGATGTGGCCAGAGGACAGTCAAAGCATATCGATTTTCCTCCTGCCACGTGCCTCGGGCCATGTGTGTCCGCATGTGCGCTGCGCTGCTGTTTATGCCGCAGGGTCCGCATCGTGTTTATGGGTTGTGGGTCCAATAAAAATTGTGTTAATGCTGGGGGCTGCGAGTGCCTAGACCGTGCCAGCATAATGAATATTATTATGCTGATTTTTTCTGGCCCATTTACCTCTTCCTCTTCTTCGCCACTCCCACTCTTTCTATCACTCGTTTCTGGTTCTGTTCTGCTTAGCCTTTATTTTGATAATGTTGCTTTAATATTTCATTACAAATGGCTTTGTCATTTATTTGCCTGAAGCTTTGATGGCCTGCGGAGTTGCTTGTTAGACGACGGTTCGCTTTGTGGGCTTCTGTATTCAGCGCACAAAAGGCAATTTCGGTTTAAAATACGCATCCGTGGAGCCATCGGCAAACATACACGACTTTTTCGAGCGGGCTTTTTATCACCTCTCGTAAAAATAAAACTCTCTTTTCAGGCTGCTGCTCGGCTTCCATTCCGTTCCACCGTTGCTGCAACAGCATAAAGCCACAGTTTGCAGCACGGCCTGACAATTTGTGTCATCCCCGTGTGATGGACTGGACACCGGTTGACACTGACACATTGACCCAGCACTTGTCGATGCAATCAGCCGAGAGAGTCTTTATGGCCCCTGCTTTGGGCCGAAGATGGAATTTTATTCCGGGGCTGAGAAAATCCGCCTCGAATCGATAGCTCCTCCGACATCCCATTCCCAGCTACCACACACATGCCACGCAATCAGAACAGCAGATATGTCAAACGAGAAATTCAATCAGCATTCGTAAGAAGCATCCTGCTGCTCCTTGTGCCTTGTGCTCGATTGTGATTGCAATGAACTTGTCAGGCAGCCGGCTGAGGTTGAAGAATCCCTCATAGGGAATCGGAATTGTCGATTGTCGGCTGTCATACAGTGACAGAACGGAATACGCATACGGACAGCTAATTGTCTGTGCCCTCTGAGGCGGCTGTAATTGCAATAAATCTCTTTAAGGACGAACCCTGCCCCGCACTCGGGAAGCTTAAAGCCTATTATAATTTTACCATCCACATGACGATGATGATTGCGGCGGGATGCGATGACTGAAGGACCGCTTCTTCCGTCTGTGGCGGAAGCAGGAATTTCCCCTTCTTTATGGCTGTGAGGGTTCGTGTGTGGGCCTGTATGAGTATTGATGTAAAAGATTTGTCCTGTCCGTCCTTTCCCTACGTTTTCTTTGGGCTCTTTTTTGGAAAATCAGCTTCTTCGTGGATGGAGAGGATTTCTTATTGTGATTTACATAATGTATGCGTGTACGGGCGACATCATTTTGTCGCTTTACAGGAAATGCACAAACTCGACTTGCCTCCTCTGCCCCACGAGATTTGTTTATATTGCCTGACATCCCAGACACGCATAAGACTAATTTATTCAGGGCACAGCGCACTCGAACACACACCCCACGAAAGGAGGGGAGACGCGACCCCTTCCCTAGACGGTATTTGCATCTGAAAGAACTGTCTTTGGGGTTAACACCTCTGCAGACCAAACAATTAGCTGGCTGTTTACATGAAGTCTCCGAGAGGCTGGACCAGCATCCCAAATTAGCTAGACTGTCCCCCCCTGACGACGACAACAACAGCAACAAAAACAGTAGTAAAACAGTACCATCCGCAGTGGCAGTTTCAGGGGGCAGGGCCAGTGGCAGTGGCAGAAGCATCAGCATCAGCAGTCAGATGTCGGCTTATAGAGCCCTCGAGACCTTTCCTAAAGAACCAGCATTGTGTGCGCCTCCAGCGTGATGGGTTCTTTGTGTGTGCTTCGTGGCTTCTTCTGGTCTGGTCTGGTCTGGTCTGGTCTGGTGTGGGATTCTTCTGCTGCACTTTAGTCGCATTTAGATTTGCATTTTATTTAGTCAGAGACTCAGGCATTCCATTTCTTCCCACTGCGGTTCTTCAATGGCCCCTTTGTTTCTGTGTTTTTTGTTTGGCTCTTCATTATGCAAAGAAGGCTTCGCCTCGTCTCTGGGCTGCTTTTTCGCATGGCACTCACATAGTCAGAGTGTATACTCCGCATGTACATACAATATAAAATATTGTGACACATGTGGGGGCCGAGGCTGTGGGGCTCAAGGTCAAGCTGCAAGGACTCGAGCATTAAGCAGACGATAAAACTGGATCCAACTGGTGCACTTTTTCACGCCAGAGAGACTGGACCGGGGGGAATTGGTGAAATACGAGTTTAAGTGTCAGCTGAACATCCATTTATACCTCAGGAGCACTTGCAGCAGTAGCTGCGGCAATGACAGCTGAGGCCACCACTGGACTTGCACCACGCCAACGAAGGGGGAGGAGGACAGAAGCGCCAATAATTCACACGAACCTATAAGTTATACAGGAGACACAAGGTCAATCAGTCCTCCACCTACCTCCCCCCTCCCTTTACTTCAAGGAGGAAAATAAAATCTCTCTAATCGCGTTAAAGTCCCCTTTCCTTAGCTCGACGGAAAGGAAATCAAGGGATGCACAACCTAATCGGCTTACAGGAGTCGCGGTTAAACAGAGACGCAGTCCGGGGACTTTTAAATGTAAATCGACGATAAGGAAAACTACCGTTTATGTGCTGCTGGTGCATGCTGCATTATAGACATATGTACATATGTACTTCACAACACTGTTAATATTTGGCAACGCTGGGAAGTGTGTATCAACCTGATTTGAATTCGCAATGTTGTTATTTGTTTGATAATTCTATACAATTATAGTCAACAAGAGATAAAACGCCTCATTTGTAGAATACTAATTTTGAGGGAGTGCGACCGGTTTTTGTTTAACAACAATCTTGCTATCGCTTGCTGATATTCTTTCCTATTTCTATGTCTCTGTAGCAGCCAAGAGAGTGGCTCTCTTGGGAAACACTCTTAGGTCTCTAGAGTTCCTTATTGAGCAGTGCCAGCACTATCTCTGGCGCTGTAATCGTGACTTCTAAAACAGGTATTTTCGGCATATCACGCTGATACTTAGTTTTAATCTCATATAATACGTTTGTTTGTTTGCGTGTTTGTATATTTGTTGGGCTGGGAGAGTCTTTAAAGACTGCTCGAAAATGCTGAGTATCGTTCATTAGTTCGGCGGTAGCTGAAAGCCACACTTCGCAAAACGGAAAAAGTTGTACAAAATGTTGATATTGATTTACTTGGTGATCGCCGTCGGTTCGCTGGTAGCGTATTTATTGCATCGCAATTTCCAGTACTGGAAGCGCAAGGGAGTGCCCCACGATCCGCCCCACCCGTTCTACGGCAACCTGGTGGGCTTCCGCAAGAACCGAGTGATACACGATATTTTCTATGACTACTACAACAAGTTTCGGACCAGCGGCAGCCCCTTCGTGGGCTTCTTCTTTCTGCAGAAGCCAGCGGCCTTCATCGTCGACACGAAGCTGGCCAAGAACATATTGATCAAGGATTTCTCCAACTTTGCCGATCGCGGACAGTTCCACAACGAGCGGGACGATCCGCTGACCCAACATTTGTTCAACCTGGATGGCAAACGCTGGAAGGAGCTGCGCCAGCGACTGTCGCCCACCTTCACCTCGGGCAAAATGAAGCTAATGTTTCCAACGGTGATCAAAGTGTCCGAGGAGTTTGCGAGTGTGATGGAGGAGCAGGTGCCTCCGACCCAGGGTGGGGCCATTATAGAGATCAAGGAGATGATGGCCAGATTCACCACCGATGTGATCGGCACCTGTGCCTTTGGCATCGAGTGCAACACCCTGCGCACGCCCGTGACAGACTTCCGCACCATGGGACAGAAGGCGTTCACAGAGCTCAGGCATGGCCAGCTGCTCACGTTCTTCATCTTCAGTTTTCCGAAGCTGGCCCGGAGGCTAAGGATGCGTATAATGCCCGAGGACGTGCACCAGTTCTTCATGCGCCTGGTGAACGACACTGTGGCCGTGAGGGAAAAGGAGAACTTCAAGCGCCACGACTTCATGGACATGCTGATCGAGATAAAGCAGAAGGGTAGCGTCACCCTCGAAAATGGAGAGGTGATGAAGGCCATGGACATTGGGGAATTGGCCGCCCAAGTGTTTGTGTTCTATTTGGCCGGCTTCGAGACCTCCTCCTCGACCATGAGCTACTGCTTCTACGAGCTGGCCCAGCACCAGGACATACAGGACAAGCTGCGAAGCGAAGTGCTGACTGTTCTCGCCGAGCACGATGGCAAGCTGACGTACGAGTGTGTCAAGGAAATGCGCTACTTGGATCAGGTCTTCTCAGGTCGGTTCCACTTCTCTTCAACTGCCTCCACAGTCACGTTTGTAACTCCTTCCGATATGCCCCTCTAGAAACCCTGCGCTTGTACACTCTAGTGCCCCACCTGGAACGCAGGGCTCTCAGCGACTATGTGGTGCCCGGTCATCCCGATTTGGTGATTGAGAAGGACACCCAGATCATCATACCCGCCTGTGCCTACCACCGCGACGAGAATCTCTATCCCGATCCCCTCCGATTCGATCCGGACCGCTTCTCGGCCGAGCAAGTGGCCGCCCGCGACTCCGTGGAGTGGTTGCCCTTCGGCGATGGCCCCCGCAACTGCATTGGAATGCGCTTTGGCCAGATGCAGGCTCGCATCGGCATGGCCCAGCTCCTCAGCAGATTCAAGCTATCGCTCTGCGACAAGACAGAAATACCCTTGAAATATGAGCCCAAATCGTTCGTTTTGGGCTCAATCGGTGGCATCTACTTGCGCCTGGAACGGATCTGAGCTTCTGTTCAAGCTTTAAAGCCGTAGAAATTAATAGCCGCCAAGAAATGTAAATGTCCGTTGCATCATCGATAGATAAATATAGTCAACTAGTTGTACGATAACAAGCGCGTTTCACACTTGAATTTCGTGCTCCTAAAGTGCGTTCGGGCTGAAGTAATCGTAATTTCTCACCCGGCCACGGCCATTGTGCTGCCAGAGTCAATGACTCTCTTCTGCACGGGCTGAGGTAAATTAATTAATATTCCCAGACGCTCACATGCTTTGCATACCACATGCCACACTCAGGGGGCTGCTGCTGCTACTGCTGCTCCACCATTACATTGCAAACCCCAAATTAAAATATGGCTCTGGAGCATGCAACACGAGCCGGCTAATTGAGGTAGGGCTGTGGCTGGCTTTTAAAGAGCCAGCATTTAAAGGGGAATAATAACACTACAACGTTTGAAGAGTGAACGGCACGGTTCAATGACGTCGTCTAGTGGCGATGAGATAATTTTAATGGCCAAACTTGTTACGCCAGCTTATCTGTGTATATCTATGTATACAGTATGTTTTACACTGGCATCGTCGCTCAGCGATCGTCTACCCTTACAGGGGATATTACACTACACACATACATCTTCCCCAGACTAAATATAATTTCGTATCTAATCTACTTGAGCTCTATATCAAACAACTGCGTAGGGAACGATAAGCATTCAATTTTAAAATTTCATTATGATTCAAATATATTTCATTTTTATGTTAAGTATATTTTAATATATTTATGCTTAGATCAAAGTACATTTAATTTATTTTCACTGTGTTCACTACCGAATATATAATCTAAATATTCAATTTTTCAGTAGGTGTCCTAATGCAGAATTTGGAAGGGTATTGAAAGCTTTGATCCACCAACAATACTTTCTCGTTGGCAACCGAACGGGCTATCTCTGTTCTGTGTACATAGAAGACTTCTTGTCATTTACTGAATTGTTTCTGCCTAAATTAACTCTGCTGTGATAATGGTCCTAGTTAAATGAAGACATTACCTACTGCAAATCTATCCTCAAGCTATCGTTAGAGATTAATACGCCACATGGCAATATGATTGGCAATTCAATGTATTCAATGAATACTCAATGGTGAAATAATTATTAGAGTACTATTTTTGAGACACAAATACGTTTGTTTGTGTTTATTGAAAGTTCTGAAATCCCTGAGAACAACATGGAAATCGTTTTCCGCTCGCAGTTTGTCTGCGAAAGTTTGTTCCGCTTGAGGAACTTTTGTTATTTACATTTCGATTGAATGATTCCTTCGGTATGCAATCGGTATATGACAGGAATCGGGCATGGGGAATGGGGAACGGGGAACGGAGATCGGGGAATGGGGCAATGCCATCAGAACTATTCCTTTGCTCGGCTCCTTCGCCCTGAGCGTTTCCTTTGCACTTTGCATACTTTGGGGCGCATTAGCAGGACGCCCCGAATTGCCTGACAGAAGCAGACGAGCGAGGACTCCGTTCGGGATCCTTTTTTCGTTCTTTATATTTGCATATATTCAAATGAGAATTTTTCACATATTCGGTTCATTTTTTGCCAGGAAAATGGGCAAAAAAGAAGAAGCTGGGGAAAGAAGGGGAAATCCGCTTTATGGGTCAGCCAGCTTGGTGCGTACTCAAAGTGTTTTTTCCCCGCTCATTTGGATTAATAAAGTTGCAAGAACTTTTTTAATGATGCTACAGGCGCAGGTGGGGCCGAATGTTTATCTATGTTTATATCATCGCCACATGCAACCCGTGGAAAATGAGGCAGCGGCTGGGAAAACTGGGGACGTGCACGTGCAACCGGCAGTTCTTGAATGGGCTCGACTCTAACGGTTGACAGCATTAAATGTAATTTTATAAAAATAAAAATAATTATCTCCCCTACGGTGGAGATCATTAACTTGTTATCAAATGAACTGGAAACTCTCTTTTGTCTGTGGTAATTCATTGAATCATTAACCTGTTAAAAACCACACAAACAGCACAAACATTGCAAATTAATTAATGATGGCCTAATTAGCATAATTAATTAGACAAACGAATGGAACGGACTGATTTATTTTGACACCTCGAAAACAGTGAGGGAAATATCTGCAGCTTTTGTGCCGTACGTACCGCTGCCCACTCATTTTGAGCAGTCATTGACTTGGTCCGGAGCATTACCTTCACCGTAGGAGGGCCAAGCGAAATACTCGTAATTACTAGCCCCAGCAGAAACGACGGACGGCGGACGGCGGACTGCGGACAATTGCGGTCCGGGTAAAAAAAAAAAAATAAAGAAAGCCCTACCGAACAAAACTACAAACAAAAAATAAAAAAGATGAAATAAAAGTGTCAAGGTTATTCAACCTGAACATTGAAATACTTAACGTTGGCTGTTGCTATTTAGAGCAAGCCAGTTTTCATGGGAAAATCTCGCACTGCTTGCAGCATCTGGCTGGAAGCTTTGCTCATCCGAAATTCCATTAGCAGGAGCATCCTAAAAACAAGTCATTCGTAAGACCATGCCCCAAAGTCGGCTCCACACTCTTGTTTGCCCAACGGAGTTGGTCAGAGTGGATTGCAATGCGAGGCAAGTTGCAGCAGTATGGGAAGCCACTGCCTCTGCCACAGCAACAGTCGAAACTGCCCCTGCAACATACGGCAGAGCCCTGCTGCAACGGACGGAAGCGTGCTCATATGTGCGTGAAAAGTTTTCCAAGCGCGCAGCCCAACAAAAGGTCCCCATGGAGTGGACATTTGGGCAGCAGTCACCACTGCTGTGACGCACATGGGTGCCAGCGATATGGGTTCGGTGTCGCTATCGGAGTGGCTGTGGATGTGGGCTTGGTCTTGCTCTTGGTCTAGGGCCTGAGCTCTGGCTTAATTGCATTTCGCTTGGCGTGCATGCATCAAACGACAGCAATGTTCGTCAAAGGCGGCTAAACTGGGTGGGAAGAGGAAAAGTGTCAACAGATCCACGAATTTGAGATGCTCTTCCACGCTCAAAACTTCCTCACCAATAGGAGGCAAGAGCACACTTTGCAATTGAAGGGGCAAAGATTCAATCAATAATACATTATTTAGGTGCCCATCAAGAACGTGGCCTTCTTTTCGTGCGTTTTAGCCAGCTCGACTTCACATAGTGATTATTGCGTCATTGATCAAATTAGAATGTCGTCCACTGGGGGCTGACCACTGGGCATTGAGTACATTGAGATACCAATACGAGTATGACATCAATGGGCCATTGAGCTGTCATCGCTTCGAACGCTCCACTTAGCCGGCGGTCTTCTGGGCCTTTGTTGCTGCTGTTGGCCACACATCAGCAACTGCCAGCCCAGAGTTGCACAAAAGAGCAGACAGACAGTACATGTGTGCACACATGCAACAGTTTCTCGCCAGCTGGCTGCCTCACACGGGGGCATCATCCGTTGGCGTGCTCCAACTCCAATTTCAGTTTGCTTTGCGACGCGACGCCGCGCGGTTCATCGAAAGACCCTGCGAAAGACCCAAAGAGCTGCTGGAAGTGGATGTGGATGTGGATGTGAATGGGGATGGCAGTGTGTAGCTCCAATTGAAAGTGGTACGCGCTGAAATATGAAAAAATAAGAAATGAAAAAGTAATAATAATAAAACACTCGTAGCTTGGTAGTAAAGAGTACATATAGCCCGCTCTGAGACACGCTTCCATGTCATTTATCAACGGTCGCATAAGGTGCCCCTCTCGGCCCAGAAATGTTTGGCCACACTTTCGGCAGCGCGTGCCTCGTGCCCATAACTAGTGGCAAGTCTCTTTGTTGACCTCACGTCGCAATCGATTCGCAATCGAGTAGCAACCCACCGAAATGGTACATAACACTCCGGTATCCAATTTGCATTTGGCCAATGCTGTTTGTGTGTGCTTTTTCCATTGAATATTCCATCTATGCAAGAAGTGTCGCTGGAAAAAAACTAAAACTATAGTTGAATCAAGCGACAGCAGGACACAGGATCATGTTGTTCCGTCGCAGTTGTACCTACAACGTGGAGCAATCAACGCGGCATTATGCGAAGGTAAAACATGGCGTTGCATACCCCGAATAAATGTGGCAGCACCAACTGCAGCAAATGTACGTTATGGTTACATATGGTTGTGGATAATCGTATCATTATGTAAGGGATTAGCGTAGTAGCGTAGCTGAGAGAGTGTGTAATCTATGGCACACTTCGATACAGACCTTTACTGCTTATAGCCTTCACCGCTCTCCATTGGCAGCACAATCAAACCAAATGAGTATTCAACCCACCAAAGAGATAATCAAGGGCTAGTTAGTGGGCTTGAAAGATGGAGATGGGAGCTACACTTCATCACATGTTAATCTGTTCAAATGCAGATACGTTTCCGTTTGTTGCTTTGGAAACAGGTAGATCAAGCTCAAGTACCCCTCCACTGCCATTACTCCCACTCCAAAAGATACTCCACACTGTTGAGCTAGTCGGAGAGCTCCCGGAGTATCTTTCACTTTACACTTGATCAATTTATACGACTATTTATAAAAATTACAAAATTACATCACAGACAAACGCCCCTCATCCCACAAAATTTGTTATCCCCTTGCGACGCGCACAGCTTTTTTAAAATATTTTTGTTTGGACTGGAAATTGAATTCAATTCTCGGCGGCTTAGGGAAATTACAAAAAGGGAAATACTCGGGGATAAATTGTTGCTTTTCCTGCTTTTCCTCTTTTTCGTTCCGTTTCGATTCGTTCCCTCCCTCTCTCTCTCTCTCTCTCTCTCTCTCTTCTCCATCTTTCTCCATCCATCCGTCTGTGGCTGTGTCTGTGGGTCAACTGTTAATGCTGCAATAAATTAGAAAGCAATCAAATTTAATGTGGCCAAAAGAAGGCGCGACGTTAGAGAAGACAAAGACGAAGACCCAGAGCAAGCCCAAGTATTTTTGTGACGCTTGTCAAAAAACAAAAGCTCCAATAAATCAACAAGAAAAGCGAATGAAATTTCCGGGCTGCTTTTGGACACAAAAAGAAACCAACGGCGGCAAATAGCATTTGTAATTAAACACACAGTGGGAATTAATTAAATAATATTTTACG